AAATAAATAAATAAAGAAAGAAAGAAAGAAAGAAAGAAAGAAAGAAAGAAAGAAAGAAAGAAAGAAAGAAAGAAAGAAAGAAAGAAAGAAAGAAAGAAAAATATCATAACCGCAGGGAGGGGGGCGATGATAACTTCCTCAATGGCTCAAGGGGGCGTTTCTTTCAAAAAGGTTAAGAACCATTGCTTTAGCTTCTTGAAGCTCTGTGGTGAAGTATTACATACTAACCTAATCTTGTACATTTACAAAAGTGACTGACAGAATCAAGACAATTTGACTTTAGCACAGGGGTGATTCTGTTGTCATTGTATGTGCGTTTGCAGAAACCTAACCTACCGGAGCACTTGGGCATATTGTCTTTCAAGAACCCAACTGCTTCGCTTCCTAATCAAAACAACAAAGTCATAATAATAATTTGAAGAGGAAGCATGGATTTCAATCCACTCTCTTATTTGATGGACATTACAGGGCAGGAAAGCACTTTAAGTCCAACATTTACCCAAATAATTAAAAGGTCATTTAAAGAACAAGCAGAATAATGAAGAGGTAGGTCCAGAAGAAGTGTATTTTTTACCAAAGCTTTTCTTGAAATGCTATTGGTAAAAACAGGACCTATACAGCAGAATGAAAACTTTCCTATCAAGCTCAAGATATTTCTTATAGCATGTATCTGACAGTTACACTGTCATAAATTTAGACTGTTAAACCTTTGCTCTATGGTTTATACAAGATCAAGTACTTGTCACTTTCAGAGCAGGTATAGTGAGATAGAGTGGGCGAGCAGTCAATTTTTCTTTATAATTAACACTCCATTAACCTTCTACATGAGAGTTCTCTTGTGTTTTCATACCAACAGCACCAACTGTCCATGTCTGATAAGGCACTATGGAGTCTGTGAGACCAGTATGAGTAACAAAATGAAACACCTTAATATTGGACACAGGCATAATTTAAGAGAACTGAGTTTGGGTGAACAGGAAACACACAGCTCAGTTACGCACACACA